TGTCATCATTCACCAGTGGTTGCTTGACCACTGTGCTGGTCATTATATAACACCAGTGTCATCATTCACCAGTGGTTGCTTGACCACTGTGCTGGTCATTATATAACACCAGTGTCATCATTCACCAGTGGTTGCTTGACCACTGTGCTGGTCATTATATAACACCAGTGTCATCATTCACCAGTGGTTGCTTGACCACTGTGCTGGTCATTATATAACACCAGTGTCATCATTCACCAGTGGTTGCTTGACCACTGTGCTGGTCATTATATAACACCAGTGTCATCATTCACCAGTGGTTGCTTGACCACTGTGCTGGTCATTATATAACACCAGTGTCATCATTCACCAGTGGTTGCTTGACCACTGTGCTGGTCATTATATAATACCAGTGTCATATGACATTTTTCCTGACGAAAACACTATCATCATCACTGGGTATAAGTCACCCTGGTGTTACCATCACTGGGTATAAGTCACCCTGGTGTCACTATCACTTGGTATAAGTCACCCTGGTGTCACCATCACTGGGTATAGGTCACCCTGGTGTCACCATTACTGAGTGTTAGTCACCCTGGTGTCACCATCACTGGGTATAGGTTACCCTGGTGTCACCATTACTGAGTGCTAGTCACCCTGGTGTCACCATCACTGGGTACAAGTCACCCTGGTGGTGGGAACTGCAACTTTCGGCGCTATAGTTCACATCGGATTAACACGAATAATTAAACACTTTACGCTTTGTCAATTTCAATTAATAGTGTTAGAACGAGAGGGCGGCGAGTTGTGTATCAAGGGTGTGATTAATGTAGGGGTGACTGTGGTAGGGTGGGGGTGATTGTGTGTGCTGGGAGATGGTGGGGTGGAGGTGAGGATTGATGATTGTGTGGTTGTGTGTATGTAGGTAGGTGGTAGGGTGAGTGTAGGATGATTGTTTGTGTTGGTAGATGGTAGGGTGAGGGGTGAATGTTGGGTGATTGTGTTAGTATGTGGTAGGTTAAGGGTGAGTGCAGTGGTGATTCTGTGCATGTATGTGGTAGTGTAAGGAGTGGGGGGGATGGTAATTGTGTGTAGGTTAAGTTAGTCTTCCTTGAAAGTTTAGGGAGACATATTCATCATTACGGTATTGGTAAACACTACACCAACAAGATGAAAAACTAGACACATGCAACAACTGGAGGAGGTGCGGGATTGCCAAAACTGTTGTCCAAAGGGCTGAGGAAGGGTTGTTGAGGTGGTTCGGACATGTAGAGAGAATGGAGCGAAACAGAATGACTTCAAGCGTGTATCAGTCTGTAGTGGAAAGAAGGCGGGGTAGGGGTCGGCCTAGGAAAGGTTGGAGGGAGGGGGTAAAGGAGGTTTTGTGTGCGAGGGGCTTGGACTTCCAGCGGGCATGCGTGAGCGTGTTTGATAGGAGTGAATGGAGACAAATGGTTTTTAATATTTGACGTGCTGTTGGAGTGTGAGCAAAGTAACATTTATGAAGGGATTCAGGGAAACCGGCAGGCCGGACTTGAGTCCTGGAGATGGGAAGTACAGTGCCTGCACTCTGAAGGAGGGGTGTTAATGTTGCAGTTTAAAAACTGTAGTGTAAAGCACCCTTCTGGAAAGACAGTGACGGAGTGAATGATGGTGAAAGTTTTTCTTTTTCGGGCCACCCTGCCTTGGTAGGAATCGGCCAGTGTGATAATAATAAAATAAAAAAGATAGCTAGATATTACATGTCTCGTTCCTCAGATGTTTTCAAGTAGGAAGCAGATGAGATCCAGGTATAGTGGACCTTGAAGCCTATCATCACTGTGTATAAATTATGCGATGGTAGCGTAGATGCTACCTTCACCACTACCACAGTAGCTACCAAAACCACTACCATCACCACACAACCACCACCACTACCACATGCAGTAGCTAACAAAACCACCACCAGCACCACACAACCACCACCAGCACCACACAACCACCACCACTACCACATGCAGTAGCTACCAAAACCACCACCATCACCACACAACAACCACCACCACCACTACCACATGCAGTAGCTACCAAAACCACCACCATCACCACACAACAACCACCACCACCACTACCACATGCAGTAGCTACCAAAACCACCACCATCACCACACAACCACCACCACTACCACATGCAGTAGCTACCAAAGCCACCACCATCACCACACAACCACCACCACTACCACATGCAATCACCACCACTACTGTGGTCAGCCTCAAGAGTAGCACAGCCAGCCACCACCACCACTGCCACAAACAAACCAGTACCTCACTACTATATACACACCCACCATTACAACACAACCATCACTAATATTGTGTACACATACAAAGAGAAAAGCTACATTACAGTAGATAAGACTTGAAAATATGTGGAATTTCCTGATAGACATGCATTGAAGAGGTGAACTAGAGATGAAGCGAAGACAAAATATTGAAAGAGCAAGGAAAAATTTATACCAGACATGAAGAGAATATAGAAAGTCGATGGTTCAACCAGGTCTGCAGGAAACCCAAAGCAAAGACCAAAAGAATGTGGAAAGAAATCTAGAGCATAGAGAACAAAAGAAAATGAGGGAATAAAGTAAAAGATTTCGGAACAGCAATGCATGACTATGAAGGGAAGCTGAGAGAAAGTTCGGAAATAACAGACTTTTCTAAAACAGTACTAAAACTGCCCAACAATCACATAACAAGGAAAATAACTGTAAATTAAGTGATAAGATGTAAGAAGGAAAGTGAGCAGTTGATGGTAGACTTGAGAGAGATATGTGAAGACCCAAATACAAAGTTCGTGGTGGTATTCATACAGAAACAAGGAATAATATCAGAAAAACTGATTTAGACACAGAGCAACCTATAATGAAAACATAAGCACAACGAACAAGGAAATGACGAAAATGCAAGAGGAACTGGACATAGCAAAAACAATGTGACCTGACACCATAACGACGGAACAACTACTATATAAATGCATATGTATATATATATATATATATATATATATATATATATATATATATATATATATAATATATATATATATATATATATATTATATATATATATATATATATATATATATATATTATATATATATATATATTATATATATATATATATATATATATATATGTCGTGCCGAATAGGTAAAACTGGTCAGTTAGCAAGACCTCATTTAAAATTAAGTCCTTTTTAAAATTTTCTCATATACGTTTAAAGATATATATTTTTTTTCATTTATGTTAATGAAAAAATTAATAATTTTGTACCAAAAGTACCTTAGAAAACTTACCTAACCTTATTGTAACAAGCGCCATTTAATTTAACCTAATCCAACTAAACATATTTTATATAAGTTTATAATAATTTAATAATAAACAAACACAATGAATTATATTCTTTTCGTTAGGTTCAAAATGTTTTTTGCGAAATTATCGCATACACAAATTTTCGCTTGCCTTGTTCGGCAAGAAGAGCGTTGATATTTAAACAAAAATCGCAAGTTTTACGTATATGGCACGACAACCGATTAAATATGCAAAACAAGCCACAGTAGAGAAATGAATTAGCTCAAGACCTTTCACAATGTTCCTTCGTCAATACTTTTTTGCAATATGAGGAAATTAATAAATTTAGATGGTAATCTCAGAGATAGCCCGGCTAGATGCAGTTTTCACTGTGTCTAATACAGTGTGGCTTCGGCAGTCTGTGTGAGGATGACAAACCTCAGAATAGCTTTAAACAATTTTAACAAAGAAACGTTTAGAACTCTGTACACATACGTCAACCTCATCTTTGAACATGCGGCATCAGCCTGGAGTCCCCACTTGATTAATCATATTCAGAAGCTGGAAAGGTTGGATTGAGGGCGACTTGATTACGTAGTGTAGAATACTCAGACAAACTGATCAGGTGAATATGGCCAGGTACTAGGGAATATAGAAGCTCAAAGCACAGATGAGTCATTGGAATGCTTAGGAATACTTTTTTGATTCTCGTGGAAGTAGGGAAGTGGAATGAACCAAATGTGTAAGTAGTTTTAAAAGTACATATAATAGAGCTCAAGAAGCTAGACACCAATAATACTTGCTGAAGCTTCAGAAGCAGGGTCAGGAACAAGATTTAACCTCCTCAGACACAAATCGGTGAGCACGCTGTATGTGCATACTGCATACACGCTATATTGTGTGCACATACTATGGTGTACATACGCTATGGTGTACACACATTTTATAGTGTATACACTATAGTGTATACACTATACACATTTCGTCATAAATAAAGAACAAATTAGACTTGCAAGAGCGTGCCTCTACCACGGGCCGACACTAGCGCTGAGTAGGACGGAAAGCGTCGGTAAATTCAGATTACCCAAGAGAGATTATTCACCTTGTTTGTATATGAAGACATTTAACAAATGATTATCCGACAAATCTTCCTCTGCATAGATGGCATATTTTTTCCTTCGCTATCTTAAGGAAGAGGAGAAAGGGTTAAGACAGGAAGGTTCTATTCGGCGCTGGTTGAACATATGTTGCAGAGATTGTCTCAGATTTACTGGCAAATGTTCTCTAACCACAAGGTTAATGTTAATGTGGGTCTTATTCTTATGTAACTCTCAAATTTACCTATTCTTACCTCTCTGGCAAATTATTCACTCTTTAAGCTCATTTATAACGTCATAATATAAATAATGTCATTTAAATTCTATCGGAGGAGAATTTTGCATAATAAAAATACGGTACAGAATGTAAACAGTATGGATGTAAGAGACGGTCCAAAATAAATGTGGCCGTCTGGTTAAAAATAGCATAAATATCAATTTATTATAATGTGAAGCTAGTACATATAAGTATTATGCCAAGTACTATGGAAGTTACTCACTTTGGTCACTAATTGTAAGAGCATCATTCATTAGTAAGTATGGAGAGAGTAGTGGTGTTGGTAGAACATAGGTGAAGTAGTCTGGATGAGGCACTTACTTTGACCATGGGGGCTTTCGTTCTGCTCAACTTCTGAAACACACAACGGTGAGTGTTGTACACATAGGCTGGGTACTAGGCAAGGCTCCGCCCTCTACCTGCGGCGGCTCTGTAGAAATATGTGTGAGGAGTACTGAGGATTGGTTGGTTTACCCTACAAATGCTAGACCACCGCTTAATCCACAAGGACACGAGTGTCAAAATCTTCCCAACCTTAACTTTTACTTAACCTCTGTATTTTGAAGGCCGCACCTCCTACCCAAATCACCTTTAAGAAAAAAAGCCCTCAAGACTCCTTACACACATTTGCTACTTTTACGAGAGTGTGAAATCTCATTTGCACTGGTTGTATTTTCATACCCAAACACTGTTGTGAGCTTCATACACTAGTGCACGACACACTACGCCATGACAATCTACCAACTTGTTCATTTTTACAGGATTGCAGGAGTGTTCTTATAGAGCAAGACTGGCGAGTTTTATGACACATCATCTCTCCCTTCCCTGGACTGGAGAGAAACCAGGCTAGTAGAGCTGTATCTCGGTCCTAGCAGACGGAGGATCAAGTCTCCACCACGTCTTGTGATCCCCAATGGTTTAACTTTTCATATAAATACAAAACACCTTTGCTCCTTTTCCTGCTATTTCTCTGGTCGAAAACAACAAACACACACACACACACACACACACACACACACACACACACACACACACACACACACACACACACACACACACACACACACACACTACCACTCCAAACATATACAAGTGTTTGAAACGGAAGTGTTGTATCTTAAGCTCACAACACTAGGCTAAGAAAATACACCCACTAATAGAATATACAGTACACATCACCTCTGCTAATTTAGTCACATGATCTGTTTCACATGATAGATAACATACATATTAGTTCATTAGTTAATTATGGTGAATAATAATAATTTTATGAGTAATAATTAATTAAAATGGACTTTAAAAATATATATATACATTAAGAGATGCATTTAGATCAATACATGTATAATTACAAGATTAAAAATGAAGCATGATTTGCACTTATGTTGTATATGTAACATAATTCTGAATTTCCGTATAAATACGGTGTAATATATACTATATACACAATAATATAACAGTTTGATGAAAAAAGTAATCCATTACAAATGAATACCTGAAGTATAATGAACACTTGTCAGAGCTCAGTAATAACTCACGTGCAGACAGAAGCAGAGGATCCTCTTCAGCAGATCTGCTGAAGAGGATCCTAGAAGGTGGTCGAAATATACAAATCAATCAACTTCCTGTGTTTGTGTCTCCATGTGGGTTATTACTGAGCACATTGCCAAATATTGAAAAATTTTCACTACAGTTATTAGGAGAAAGTTACAGTACCAAACCTGGAACAATTTACTATATCCACATATGTTGTAACTTATTACATAATGACGTTTCGGCCTACGACGAACCGAAACGTCGTTTAGTTTTATTTTTGAGCAAGTTCGCTTGTTGTACATTGAAATATTTGCAAGTTTCAGTCTGGAGTATAGCTTGTAAATATTAATGAAAAGCTGGTTCATTCTAAGTTAATTTCCTTCGCTCGTTGACTTTGTGTGTTTCTTCACCCGGTTCACACATGGTGTGATATTTAATGTTTACATCCTAGGAATACCTCAGGGTATCCCTCACAGGTAAGGAATATCTCTGGATACCTCTCCTGTGAGGGATACTCTGAGGCATTCCTCACACACAGGGTGAAGAGAGAAGCCAACTGAAAGCTTCGATCATAGCATCAAAAGCGCCTCTGAGTCTGCCATCATGTTAATAACACTCGCGCTAGGAATACTAGTATTATTATGGTTAAGGGTAAACCATACGGGTTATACAGCGCTTGGAGAATAAGAGACAATCAGGTTTGATCCAAATAAATCACCAACACCATTACCACAACCACAGAGTCACCATCTCCGGCACACATATTGGCATTTTGGAGGGATATGTTGTGTATCTTTATACGTATATGCTTCTAAACTGTTGTATTCCGAGCACCTCTGCAAAAACAGTGATTATGTGTGAGTGAGGTGAAAGTGTTGAATGATGATGAAAGTATTTTCTTTCTGGGGATTTTCTTTCTTTTTGGGTGACCTTTCCTCGGTGGGGAGACGGCCGACTTGTTAATTATATATATATTATATATATATATATATATATATATATATATATATATATATATATATATATATATATATATATATATATATATATAATATAAGGCAATAAGATCACAGTAAACAGGTGATTTCAAAATATGCAAAACAACCACTGTGGAAGAATAATGAAATTCCAAGTGCTTTCGTGACTACTCACATTATCAAGGAACAGTGATAATGTGGGTAGTCACGAAAGCGCTTGGAATTTCATTATTCTTTCACAGTGGTTGTTTTGCATATATATATGTCGTGCCGAATAGGCAGAACTTGCGATCTTGGCTTAAATAGCA